TGGCCCCGCCAGCCGCCGCCGCCAGCACTTCGGGCGTACAAGAAGCTGCAGGCGCAGGCGCGCTCGGAGGGGCCCCAGGTGAAGCCACCCACCCCGCCGCCAGCACCAGGGTGTCAGAAGGTGCTGGCGCGGGAGCCGCGGGTGGCTCACCAGGAGCCCTGGCTGGCTCGGGAGACGCCAGCCCCTGCCACGGAACCGCCTGCGTCCAGCGTGAGCGCTCCAACGCGGGAGCAGGCGGACAGGAAGAACCAGATCTTGCTTCACCTGCAGTTGGACCGCATCTCCTCGCAGCAGGAGGCGCTGGCCCAGGCGGTGAAGGAGCTGCAGCAGAAGAAAGCAAGTCCCCCGCCTGGGAGGGTGTCGGCTCCGGCGTCGTGTTCGGCGCCTTCGCAGGGGACCCTCAAGAAGCGGCGTTGGCGCCGGAAGAGGGCCAAGAAGAAGGAGGAGCTGGAGCTGGAGCCGGACACACCACCACCTTGGAGGAGGTCGCCCCCGTGGAGGCGGTGAAGACCTTCGCCTTGGATGTGCTCGACGAGGGGATCAGCACTGAGGGCGAAGAAGTGGTGGCGCAGCAGGCTGCCCCTGCCGCCGGCCTTCGCACGCTCAGCAACAAGGAGAAGAAGGAGCTTAAAAAGCAGCGGAAGCTGCTCGACGTGGAGCGCAGCCTTCGCAGGCCTGGCTGGGAGAAGGACCCAGACACGGTGCCGCTGGAGGTGCCCAACGCAGAGCACCAGCGCGCGGGCCTCGAGTGGATCTGGGAGCAACTCGTAGCCAGGGCGAAGGATCACAGAGCCCGCTTCCCAGAGGAGTGGGACTGAGGGCGCCTTTTCGGGCCAGGCTGCGTTGTAGAGCGGCTTGGCCCTCTTTTCTCCTTTCAGGGTCGCGCTCACAGGTGTTTCTCTCGTGTGTTGCGCGTCTTTGGCTCGGACAGCTATCCCCCTTGATGAGCTGCGGCGGTAGCGCTGTGGTATGCGAGTGCCATAGGCTTCTAGGGGCCCTGCGCGGCTGCGCTGCGCTTTCGGGGTTCCTGCCTGCATGATGTTCTTTGTGAATTTCAGTTGCTTCATGGATGTGTCGACAAAAAAGGGCAGTTCCTCTTCGCGAAACGTTTCCCCGCGCTCAGGCATACCTCGGTAGCAAAGGCTCGATTGTTTAGCTAAGTTCAACAGATCACTGCCTTGCAAATCCAAATACGGATTCCACTGGCGCCGTGCGAGGCAACACTGCCAGGGCAGCACGGTATACCTGCAGCAACGCGGGGGCGCACTCAGGGCACATGCGGTTCATCTCCCTTGCGTTTAGAAGGAGGCCTGCCATGTTGTCTTTTGGAGCAGATTTTTCAACATCGCATGCGTTACAAACCAAAAACAATATGTTCACGGCGCGGAACGCACAGATGCCAGCCACGTCCGTTAACCCATTGAAAGCGCCCAGGGAAGAACAACACAAATCATCACCATCAGGGGAATCCCCCATCGAATCACACATGGAATCGATGTGGTGCGTCGCACCTCGTTGGTACTACCCTCCGCCATTCGGATGCCAGTTTCTTTGTTCCCTTTCTTCACAAGGGTGTATCTCAAGGGCGGTTGCACTCCTGTCGCAAACCCTCTGTATTCAACGAAGACGCTAAGGAATTAGACCGCCCACTTGCAACCATAAGCAATAATATTGTCAACCCACCCGGGGGTCGTTTACATCCGAAATGCGTGACGAACCCTTTCAGGCGCATCGGAATAATGGCCCCTGTCTACACGCGCATTATGTATTCCGCAGAAACCAACTAAGTCTTTGATGCAAGAACATCTCTTTAGGGGGCTGACTGCCTCGTTACGCCTTGTTTTCACTGTTTGCTAGAAGTGTCGCTCGCAAAACCAAAAAAAACGCCTCCTAGCTGCGTGTACCGAACCACCCATGACCGACTCAAACTCGTGCACGTTACATCGGGCCGATACACCCGTTCAACCCACAACGCCGCCCACAGCACCACTGCATGCCTGCACATTCCTCCGCTGCTCGTCGGCGGCATCTGCCGCACTAGATTGAGCAGGCACTCGTTTGGACATCCTGTGCGAAGGTCGTCACAACACATTTAGGGGACCACATGCGAACCCTACCCCTACCCCCCACGATTTCTGAGGGGGAGGGTGGGGTTCACTTCGCTCGGGTGACCCCCTAATATTCTTCCTGTGGTGCCCGCTGCGGCCGTGTTTTCGCTGACAGTACGTTGTTAACTCAGATGAGCGTTTGAAGCGAAGGGCATTGAGTTTGCCTGATCTGACCATTGCCGACACCAAGACGAGCCGACACTGCTTGAGGAAAGGCCTGCGCATGCTTCTCATCGTTCTCCTCGTGCTCTTTCTTCCTCATCTCTCCCATGATCACGCATTCCTCCCAGGTCCCCTCCTATTCCCCCTCACGAACACAATCGCCCCCCCTCGGCCCCATATCTCTGCCCGCATTTTCTCCGACCTCTTGTCCTCGCCTTCCCCCTCCCCGTCGCCCCACAACTTGCCCTGCCCCCTGTCCCCGCATTCCTCCCTCCACCCACAATCTTCCCGATCGTGTCCTAATCCCTCCTGCCCTCGCCTTCTCACCCCTATATCCCTCATACTGTCCCCACCACCCCCGTTGATGCCCCTCCTATTCTTCCGCTTCGCGCCCGCGCTCCCCCATCCCTTTTCACCTCATCGATCGCCTCTATCCGAAACAAATTCAAATTATGGCGATGATGGCGTTCCCTCTGTCCGTCGCGGCTTCCCCCCATTGCAGCCTATCCGTGCCGCACACGAACAGCACTCAAATCGACCATGTTCACAACAAGCATTTGAAAACATAAACTAAAAACTGTTCGTTGGGTTTGAGACCCTAACGTTTCGCAAAAAACTTGAGATCGAAAACCTAAGAAAAAACATCGATTTTGACTAACCTGACACCATTGGAAGCCCCAAGTTGACGCCTCATGGGGCCCCTCAAACAGACGTGCAAAACACAATGCATCAGGCAACGAGGCTGTCCCTGAAAGCAGAAGATACCACAACAAACGGAAGTCCAACACGACGACGAAGATATTGATATTACACCAACAGGAAAATCCCTAGCAACGGATGTTTTGAAATGGAATCGATAAAAAACATCGATAAAGAAATCGACCAGGAACCCAAGAGCTCGGAACCCATCGAAATCGGACCGGAACCAAAGACCAAAAACCCGGGAGAACCCAGAACCAGGAACCCGGGAACCCGGCCGCCTACCAAGATCGGCGGGGAACGTCCGCCAACTCTTTCACTTTTGACCACCTCGGTACAGGCACTGCTTGGGGCACGAGAGGACATGACGATGTCCCACGATGGATGGTGACGTTTTGTTCGCTCCGTCGGCCGAGCACCGTCGCTCCCAACGTGCGGCGGCAGCGCAGTCCGCGCTGCAGCGGTGGAGGGGGTCACAGGGCCGGGGCCCTCCCCAGTCGACCGCAGGCCCTTCCGATGCCCCCCCCCCCCGGGGCCGCGCAGGTGCGTGCCCGCACGAGCCCCCCCCTCGCCAGGGGGATCGAGCGTGCCTCCAGGAGAGCCTTCGGGACTCCTCTGAAATACTCGCGACGTCAGGGCGGCGACGAGAGGACGGCGTTCGACGGCTGCTCAGACTGACCCCAACTACTGTTTCAGCTGTACCCGCCCTCTCGGATCGACCCGCCCCCTCAACTATCTTCTCGCTAGAGGGCCTGGTGCGAACGCGCTGGAGAGCAACAGCACAAACAGCTCGAAAGCCTCAGAGTTCCAGAAGTTCCGGAAGTTTGTAAAACATCGGCGTCTCGAAACTAGGATCTTGATCCGAACGACGCCGAGCCCAACAAATTTGGCGGGGGCGCAATACCAAAATGCCCCACGAAAAAACAAGATAACACATAAACATGTCGCATGGCTCGTTCCGTGGGGCAGTTGTTGACGACGCAACCAACGAACTAAACAATGCGAGAAGAGGGCGATCGCTGGCGAGCAGCCGTTATGCCAGACCCTTGCCGAATCCCGATAGTGCACCGGAGGCACTTACCGATTCACCTCGAGTGCCGTCGCCAAAATCAAGATCACCCATTTCAGTAATCGACATTCCGTAAAGTTTGAGGCGGCACCGTCGCCAGCCGTTCTATTCTGGGTACCAGGAAATTGGGAATCAGTGATCGCCTCCTCCCCTCTCCCGGCTCCTCCTGCTGCCACCCCGCGCTGTGACGTGGGTTGCCCGCGGTCGGCTGGAAGGGTGCCTGGCAGCACCACCGCTCCTCGCACGCAGCACCCCGCCCCTACGACGAAGCCAGGGCGAGGATAAATTCGGGCAATGATAAATCAAGAATCTCTGAGATTTGGCGGCTCTGGAGGAGGATGTCTCGGGCGCCGCGGGCTTCTCAGAGCATTCCAGAGCGCTCTGGGAGCGATCCGGAACGCTCTTGAACAAACTTTTCTTCGTCCCAGCCTCGTCCGACAAGGCCTCCCCCCTCCCCACGGCAACTAAACCCGGCCAGGAAAAAGTCGGCCAGGCTGAACTCGCCCAGATGAACTCGGTCAGATGAACTCGGCTGGCTGACCTCGGTCAAGCCGAACTCGGCCACGCCAAACTTGGTACGGGCAGACCTCAGCCTGGCCGAGTTCTGCTGGCTGAGGTCAGAGTGTAGAGTCGGCAGAGTGCGCGGGGAGCGATTCATGTGGCAGGACGAGAAGGCACACATACGATCGGGATCCTTTGGATAGCGTGTCGCCACGGCGGCCACTACGACACGCTAGGCCTTGCGAGTGAATACCGTGTCGCTCCGCTCCGCGGGGCGGGAGGCTCGGAAAGGCTAGGAAAAGCTCGTGGCACTGACGCCTCAGGGATGCGAAATGGATAGCGTGTCCCTGGCAAGCGCGGTGGGACAAAACCGGCGGAGCGACAAGCTGTCCAGACATTTTCCCTCGACCGTATGTCAAACCACTGTGTCGAACCACTGCACCCAGCAGCTCCCGGCAGGCTCCTGATCGCCTCGGAGACCACCAGGGCGGTGATGAAGTACTGCAGCAGCAAGGCCACGAGAGCACCCAGCACTCGCAGGCGCGCGTTGCCACCCCTCTCTTCCTCCCTTCCCACCCCCTTCACCTCCGACTTGAGCGCAGCTCTTTCCTCCTCCAGTCAGCTTGACTAAATGGTCGGCATCGCAGGTAGGGAGGAAGCGCAGGAGCAGGATGGAGGAGAGATGAGGGGCTTGGGATTCTGACCACTCCACGAAAGAGAAGGAACCACATATGATCGGGGGCGCGCAAACATGGATTAGCGATCCATGGATTTGGCGCGCGGTCGCCAAATCCATGGATCGGGGGAGGCGCCCTCCCAGAAATTCGGCCGGGATCCATGTTTGCGATCGCCTGATATGAGCACGGGGATCAATTCTCGAAGTTCGCGGCGCCAGGCATGGTGGCGCCATCCAATTGGGCCCCCCGAGCCTGGACAAGGCCGACGCGTACCCCAGACATACCATTAGGTCGGGCCTGTCCCCCTACAGGGGGATTTTCGGTGAAAAGTGAAAAACTGGAACAGTGAATCAACAATGCTCGAAAATGATAAAACAGATCGTCCCCATACTATTTGTTGACTATTTTTGAATATTCCTCCTGTGAAAGGATACGCCCGACTTAAGCCTGGATGAGGCCAACGCGTTCCCCGGACAGACCAAGTCCAGCATCTCGAGGATGACGGACAGCATCAAGCATCTCCGCTGGCGCCCACATACGCATTGGCAACGCATCGCCTCGCGCACGTCCACAACAAGCTGGATCCAAGAACCGCTGCCACTCTCCTCCATTGTCTCCTCCAGTCCTCGTCTTCCGTTTTCTCTCCCACGCCTGCCTCTTCATAGATTTTCCCGTTTCCCACTTCCATTATCCCCTTCTCCTCCCAGTCCCAAATCCCACACCTTTCTCCTTTCTCCTTCCGCCTTGCTCGTGCCCTCATCCTCCTGCTCAGCATGCTGAGATTCCAGCACCAGTCAGGCATCCTTGCCTGCATCATACCTCAAGCCTGCTGCACGACATCCCCTCCGCACCCCGCCCATCCCCGCCGAGCGAAAACAAACGGGCAGCCTTGCGCGCGGTGGTAGCCGAACGAATAATCCGCGGAGTCCCCCTTGTACTCCGACAGTACGCTCGCCCCGCAGGGGCCACGGCGAGGCTGCGAGCGGCCACCCGACGCCACACCGGTCCGCAAGTCGGCCCCGTAACGGCGGCTGCTCCGCTCGTCCCGCTCGTCGCCCGCCTCCTCCAGGCCCTGCCCTTGTGAGTAACCTCCTCCCTGTCGCACGCCGAGGGCCGGTCGGAAAGGCGGGCCGGGCGTTTCGCCTGAGACTTCCTCACCATTGATGGCAGGGCGGGTGGTTCTCAAAATGTGGCTCTCGCCTGAGCGCCACGCACATGCTTGTTCACAAGAGCTTCGCAGAATGAGGGCGGGCCGTTCTCAAAAGGTTGCTCGCGCCCCAGCGCCGCGCGCATTCGATTTACCAACTTGTAAGAATCTCACGGATGGAGGGCGGGTGGTTTTCATATAATGTAGCTCTCGACTGAGCGCCGCGCACATGTTTCTTAAGCAATTGCATGAGTTTCACGGATTGAAGGCGGCTCCTTTTCAAAATGTGGCTCTCGCTTTAGCGCGGCGCACACTCACAGATTCCCACGGTCAACGTAACAGAAATGGCGTTTGGGAATGATTTAAGATTGCCAAGGCGCAACAGTTACGTTGAATCGCGGTGTTGAAATACTAGGAACGGCGTTCTGGAACGATTCGAGACCGTTGCGACGCAACCGTAAGGTTGATCCGTGGCGTTGAAGTCCCAAGAATTGTTTTTTGGCACGCATCAGGATTTTCACCAAGTCGTCTCCCAGAGGACCATTTCCCTCAATGGAACTGAATCCTATTAGGGGCCTGTGAAGAGGGAGCCGGGATGGAGGGTTTATTCCAGCATGGTCGAAGGGTCTTGGGTTTACACTGAACCTCCTTCTCCTCCTCCTCCTCCTCTTGCTCTTCATCCTCCTCACTGTCCCCCTCTCATTTTTAGATGTGGCATTGGAATTGTGATACGCCACGTGACTTCCTCCTCCTCCTCCTCCTCCTCCTCCTCCTCCTTCGATTGCCCTCCCCGTCCTCCGCGCTGCCCTACTCTTCCTCCTGGCGACACAGGCGACACGAGAATCCACAGATCATGCACTGGAAAGGCGCAAAACCTAGGACATGGGCAGAGGCAGAGGGCAGGAAAAGGATGGGGGGGGGAAACGACAGTGTGGAGTGGGCAGCCCAACCTCTTCCTCCTCCTCCCCGTTGCAACCGTGGAAGCATTCTTTGATTTTTCGCGATAGCGGCTGTTACCGGCCCCGGCCACCCCCCCACTGCTTCCAGGTGAGGCCGCGAGAAGTGCTGCCGTCCGAGCTGTCTCTGGCGACTCCGACAAGTTCGCAGACGGCGCTGGAGCGAAACGTGACATTACCAGCACCCCTGCGATGTGGCGATGCGGCGCTATCCTGCGACCTCATCTACTGGGACCACATCTAGGAGGCCTGGGTCCACGGATTTAACCGGGATTGCACAGGATGAGGCCACATTGCGCCGGCTTTCGACAACGGATATACAAGAGCTGCTGCTGATAATAGGGATGAGAGAGGAGGCAAGGGAGAGGGAGGCGGAGGGGGAGAGCGGGAAAGGAGAAGGAGAAGTGAAGAATGGGGGAAGAGGAACAGGACGCCGTGGCTTGCTGACAGGCACGATTGCAGCCACGCCGTCTCGCTATGAGACACCCTCGGCTTGGTCAAGCAGACTCGCTGGTCAGAAAAACTATCTCACTGTACTCCGTCAGCTCCGCCTTACCTCCTGGGATAGATGGCCAAGGCCTAGGCAGAGGGCGCCGACTGCCCCCTCCGCCCCATCCAGGGACGCAAGGGAGGGGCAGAGGGCCATTGTGGCGCACAGTGTGCGACCAAGGCAGGCAGCACACTCTGCTCCAGAGGTGGCTGTCTCCAGATCGGCTGCTCATCCCAGGGCTGTTCGAGCGGCGCGCTCGCGGAGCGGCCATGAATTTCACTAGCCATTTAGGGGGGGAGTGGTTCGTCGAAATTCTTCTTCCAACCTCCATTTCTCCCCTGCGGGGAGGAGTTCATACCGTTCCCTATAAATAAGCACCCCCTCCCCCAGGCGACTGGCAGCCAAGCTGGACCAATGAGCCCCCACCCACCATCCCTTGCCAGACAAAAATGCATAATGCAGTTTGCCTGCAAATCTGGCGCATGCGCGGGCGCCCCGCGACCGCTTTGCATTGGTATTTGATCGGGATGGCGGGGGGCCAGCAAATTGCTTGCTGCACGCAGGCCAACCATCCCTGTCGAAAAAATACAAACATGATCTTTGGCGACAAATCTGGATAATGCGCAGCGCCCTCTTTTCTCCGAGATCTTATATGTTTCACTACTCTCAACATTCCACAATTTGGCTATCGGTTCTGGTGCTCTGCGATCCCTGGAAAAGCCGCCCCTCTCACAGAATGCTCGACACCTCGCTCTACAGGGGGATTCAAGATCCTGGACCCCTCGGGGCCAGAACCCCCAGCACCTGGTGTCCCTATTGATTCCCCGCAGCTGGCGCACCTGGCGCGGCTGGAGCACGTGGCACGCTTGGCGCACGTCGAGCATGTGCCGCACCCGGCACGCTTGGGCCCTCAAGGCGCCCTGTGCGCCTGGACCCCGTGGCGCGCATGGCACGTCTGGGGCGTTCCTGAGCGATCTGCTGGCACTCGGGTGTTCCTTGTGTGTTGGGAGGGCGGGTGGGAGCGAGCCAGACGGCCTGCTGTCGAGGACCCCTCCTCCCCCTCCCCCTGGACCTGGGCGGAGGGGGTCGCGAGCAGCTGGAGCGTCCAAGATGGTCTCGACGAGGCAGCCACAACCATTGATTTCAGTAGGGGTATGGCGATATCGTGGCCTCACCCTAGCTTGCGACGGCCCCTCCTTCGATCGACCTCCTCGAAGACGGCCGCAGGAGGGCCCCCGAGGCTGCCAAGGGTGCCCCGAGACGGCCCCAAGAGGTCCCAACGAGGCCCCGAGAGCCCACCCAGGAGGCCCCCAGGATGCCCCCCAAGCGGCCCCAAGAGACCCCCTTTGGAGTCCCCCCCCCCCGGAGGCACAGGAGACGACACGAGGGGCCTCGGCAGGAAGGCACGAACCGGCGATGCTACCACGAGGCTGCGGCCACGTGTTGGCCTCCCGGGGGAGGGGCAGATCCCACCAGCCCTCTGGGCGTGAGTTGTTCTGGAGCGCTTCCGCGTCCGACCCTCCTGCCTGCCCCTGTCGGGAAGGGCGTCCTTCCTCCTCCTCCTCCTCCTCCTCCTCCTCCTCCTCCTCCTCCTCTTCCTCCTCCTCCTCCTCCTCCTCCTCCTCCTCCTCCTCCTCCTCCTAAACACCCCCTCCCCCAGGCGACCGGCAGCCAGCAATTGCCTGCTGCGCGCAGGGCCACCGCCTGTGTCAAACAGCACTACAGAATGCACTTCGCGGGTGCATCTGGATCGTGCGCGGCCACCGCGCGATCATGTTCCATGTGCTTTGGGCAGAGACCGAGGGGGTTTGGGCGTAGTGCCTGCTGTGCGCAGGCCCACCAGACACCATGTTGGCCTCCCCGCCGCGGTTGTGCATTGGCATTCGACGAGGACGGTGGGAACCGACAGGTTGCTCGACGTGTGCTGTCACGTGCGCGGGCGTACCTGGCACACTTTGCGCGTGCCCCGAACGTGGCACACCTGGCGCGCCTGGACCATGCGACACACATGGCGCACGTGGGGTTTGCTCTGGTTGCCGAGAACTGTGCATCCATAGGCGACCGCTCAACATGCTGAGGCTCGAGTGTTACTTCTATGTTGGAGGGTGGGAGGGAGTGAGCGAGACAGCTTGCGGGCGGAGAGGGTGCCTTGATAACTGGTCCCTAGTAACAAACATCCACTCTTCCAGGCGACGGGCAGCCAATCAAGACCTATGAGATCCCTTCCACCATCCCTGGGACAAAAAAAACACTACATAATACAATTTGGGGAAAATTGTATTGCTTGTTGTCAGAGACGCCGGTGCATTATACTATTGCCTGCTGTGCGCAGGGCCACCATCCGTGTCAAACAAACAATACAAAGTGCACTTCTCGCGTAAACCTGGATCATGCGCGGCCAGCCCGCGGTCCCTTTGTATTGGATTATGAAAAGGACCGTGCGGGTGCTGGCATAACACCTGCTTTGTGCAGGCCCACCAGGCACCATGATGTCCAGCCAGCCGCGATTGTGCACTGGGTTTTGACAAGGACGGTGGGGGCAGACCAGTTTCCCGATGTGTGGTGTCACGTGCGCGGGCGTACCTGGCACACTCTGCGCGTGCCCCGAACGTGGCGCACATGGCGCGGCTGGGCCATCCGGCATACATGGTGCACGTGTCGGACGTGGCGCAACTGGCGCGCCAAGCGTGCCTGGCACGCTTGGGTACCAGGGGTGCCAAGCGCATCCGGCGTGCGCACTTCGACCCAGCACGTGTACAGGTGAAGTTGGTTTTTGGTTCCCAATAGCTGTCCGTCCATGGACGGCCGCTGAACACGCTGAGGCTCGGGTGCTGCCTGTATGGTGGGAGGGCGTCCGAGGAGGCCCCCCAGATGCCCCCAAGATACCTTCAAGAGGCCCCCACGAGACCCCCAAAAGACCACGAAGAGGCCCAAAGAGGCTCCCCCGGCACCTAAGACGCTTCAAAAGGCCCCCAGGACCGCCACGACCTCCAGAGAGGCCCCAAGAGGCCTACAAGAAGTTCTCTAGAGACATCCGAAGAAACCCGGGAGGCATCCAAGAGGACTCTGGCCTTTCTGCTCGCCCTCCTCAACCTCCTCCTCCTCCTTCTCGTCCTCCTCCGCCTAATCCTCCTGCTCCCTCCCGCCTCCTCCCCCCTCTGTCCTCCCTCCTCTCTCCTCCCCCTCCCCCTCATCGTCCTGCTCCTGCTCCCGCTCCTGCTCCTGCTCCTCCTCCTGTTCCTGCTCACGCTCCTCCTGCTCCTCCTCCTCCTCCTCCTGCTCCTCCTCCTGCTCTTCTGCTTCCTCCTCCCGTCCTCCCCCTCTTGGGGTACGACGGTTTCCCGGCATTTATTCCACTGCGTGCTCCCCCACACATGCCGCCTGATCAAGACAAAACGCCTACGCATCGTTTCTGGCTGGGCTGATGGGATTACGCGAAACGTCTAGAATATGGCCGCACCCAGCAAGCCGGCATAGAAAAACACGTCGGACAGCTGGTGGGCGCCGTCGCTGTAGAGCGCCAGTGAGCCCACCATGAAGCCCAGAAGCAGCTCCGCTACCTCGAGGGTTTGCGCGGGGAGGCGAGGTCATTGGAAGGACTCGGCAGATGAGCAACCAAACCAAATTGGGGGCACGACTCTGGCTAGGATCAAATGTGCTTCATGACTGGGGCCGAACACCTGTTGGTAGGGACAGATTTGTTATGTTCCAAAGATGCGTCCCACCAGCGAACATAGTGTTAAACAGACAGTGTTCGGTGCCAAAGCTGATGCCCTGAACTGGGTAGAATGAAAGTGTTTGCCTTGGCAGCTCGGCCTACACACTCTTTCCCGACCCCTTTAGAGACGTGCCACTGGAATATCTCCTAGCTGGCGGGTGCGAGCTGATAGATCAGATGCTGTTTCGAAGTCTGTTCCCACTGACAGAAGCGAACGTAACCGTAGTCATAGGAGTCGGCGTATGCGAAGGCACAAACACGCGTTCAGCCGACATGGGGCGCAAGAGGAGGCATACGATAGGCATAACTCGTACACAAGGCAAACATAACACACACGCGCACACACACAGTGCCCATATCTCGCGCGACCACTGGGAAATACCACTAGTCCTCTGGTCCAGACAGATGTGTCTTCCGAGCTCACGTTTCCTTGTGATGGCACCCCGCGAGCACATTGCACAGGCGTTTGACACGAAAGGTGGGAGGGATCGTATTGACAAGCTTCGAACTGGTTGCGAACTGCCTGCGGGTGCACACGCCATACGCCATGTGCTGGCGACCCCGCCGCCACGGCGCAGTCGCATTTGACATTTGACAAGGATGAAGGGGTTTTCGACGCGTTGCCCGCTGTGTGCTGTCACGTACGCTGGCGCACCTACCTGGCGCGGCCAGAGCATGTGGCCTCCTCCTCTTCCTCCTCCTCCTTCTCCTCCCACTCCTCCTCCTCCTCCTCCTCCTCCTCCTCCTCGACCCCTCCTTCTCCTCCTCCTCCTCCTGCTTCTTCTGGTCCTCCTCCTCCTCTTTTTTCTTCTCTTTTTCCTCCTCTTTTTCCGCCTCCTCCTCCTCCTCCTCCTCCTCCTCCACCTCCTCCTCCCCCTCCCCCTCCTCCTCCTCCTCCTCCTCCTCCTCCTCCTCCTCCTCCTCCTCCTCCTCCTCACAGTTGGCACACGTGGAGCACGCGGCGCATCTGACGCACCAGGCACGCCTGGCTCGCTTTAGGGCCCCTAGAGCTCCTGACGTACATTGGTGCGCGTGGCGACCCCTGGCACGTGTGCCGCGGCTCGCGTTAGCGCCGCGCATAGGAGGTTTGAAAAAGGTTCCCAACGATGGTCCATCTGTTATAATGTCAGCCGAGAGGTCCCAACAAGAGGCTCAGAAGGGCCCACAGACGGAACCCCAAGAAAGTCCCAAGAGGGCCTCAACATTTCTAATTCGCGCGCGCGGGGCCGCCCTTGGGGGTCCCCAGACAAGAAATACCCCAATTGGTCCCGGCCAAAATAATGCCAGGTCCTGAGCAGGTTCCGGGCAGGTCCATGGCAGGTCCCGGCAAGGTCCCAGCAGGCTCCCACAGGAGCGCTTCAAGTGGCCTCCCAGAGAGCTCAACATGGTCCGAGACGGCCCAAGAGCGATCCAAGACGCCAAATATTGCCTCCAGACAGCCCAAAGCGCCTTCAAGACGCCCCAAGAGGTCTCCAAGACCTCCCGAGAGGGCCCTGATTGTCCTGTGGTTTCTAACGTTTTTCGGCCTCCTCGCCTTTTTCGGCTTACAGGCGCTCCAAGATGGCCCAAGAGGCTTCCAAGACCGCCCCAAGACGGCCAACGAAGCCTGCAAGAGGGCCCCAAGACTGCCCAAGATGGCCCCGAGACGGCCCAAGAGGCGCCAAAGACAGCCCAAACATCGCCCCAAAACGGCTCCAAGAGGGGCCCAAGAAGGGGCCCCGGAACCGAAGAAAAGTCCAGCCTTCAGCCCCAAGTGGCCCCAAGGAGCCCCCAAGAGGCCCCCAAGAGGCCCCAAGGGGCCTCCAAGGGCACCCCGAGAAGCCCCAAGAGGCCCCCAAGAGGCCCCAAGCGGCCCCAACACGGCCCCCAAGATGCCTCAAAACTGCCTCCAAAAGCCCCTGAATTGCCAACCACGAGAGCCCGCCCAACATCCGTGAGGCCTCTGACCCGCCACCCACCGCCAACGAAAAATGGCAGCCGCCCAACCGCACCGCATTGACAACAACACCCCGACAAACGACAGCGGCGAAGCAATGTGGGCCGGCGGAATGAGCGAAACGATTCAATAATGTCAGCCGAGAGGTCCCCACGAGAGGCTCAGAAGGGCCCACAGACGGCCCCCCAGGAAAGCCCCAAGGGGGCCTCAAGATACGATCTGCCGAGTTCCAAGGCGAAGGCCGGACTTCAAGGGACGCGCCTGTCGATCGATGGACGCAACGAGAAGCGCGGCAAAAGCAACACAACCCCATTGGTGTTTGAACAATGGTGGGGCCTTTGCCTGTCCTCAAGTCGGGCCTGTCCCCCTACCGGGGGATCCTGGGCACACACACAAAAAATAGTCCCCAGGCTATTGTTTGACTATTTTTGAATTTTCCCCCCGTAGAGGGACAGGCCCGACTTAAGCCTTTGCCTATCCCGAATCGTCCCCCCAGCCGCTCCAATTCGTCAGGCCTCGGGCCCCTCCTGGCCCCCCAGACGGGCGGGGGGCCAACTCGACTCTTGTCCGCCCTCTGTGGGCCGGGCACCCTGGCACGCTGTTGTGGGGGCCACGGGCCCGGCAAACGATTTTGCCATCATCGCCCCGAGTTTGAGCAGGGGCCGACCGTCCCAGCATTCCTGTAGTCATACCACGAAATTTTCTGAGAATCCAAAACTGCTCTAAGAACAGAATCAGGGTTCTTAGAACATAGGCCTCACGTGCTAAAACAAGACAAACTCCGCCAGACATGTTCTAAGAACACTTTGTGGGAACCACAAAAGGTTCTTAGAACATTGTTTGGTAGGGCCATAGGCGAGCAGGGACGCTTCGCCACTGCTTGACGAGTTATTTCTGAATCATCTCTCCACATTACCTGGGGGGCTGCCTGCGCGCAACCTGAAACCTTACCGGCTGGGCTCAGGGCCCGAAGTGCACGGCAGGTGCTGGCGGCGTCTGCGAGAATGCCTCCACACGGACGGGCCGACGGGACAGCCCGGCTCTTGTCCCGAGGCGCGCCACCGTCACCACGAGCGACACGGCGGTGGAGGCGCCCAAGACCATGAAAGCCCTCTGTGAGCATCGATTAACCGATCCCTACGGTCCAGAATTTCAGCTTAGCGCGTCGCGGTGGCGGCCCAGGCGACACGCTATGAGGTGCAAGCGGATGGCGAGTCCCTCCGCTCCGCAGGGTGGGAGGGTGGGAAGAAACTCGGGAAGTTGACGTTCGGGGACTGGGACGTGGATACATCATGTGTCGCGCCGAGGCGTGGTGGGCCAGACCTGGCGGAACGACGCGGTAGGCCAAAATTCCCGACGGTATCCCCGCTGGCGTGGACTTGGCCCCACTGGCCGACGCACCCGCCAAAGTGGGGACATATATACCTGTGCCTTCGGGTTTCGCGGCGCCCGTCCCCACCTGGGAGGGTGGGTTTTGGCGGGGCTGCGATACCGTGCCCCACGCGGGGATGGGGATCGGTTAGGCGATGCTGACCTCCTCTTGCGCTCCTCGGAGCTCCCGAGGATGAGGTCCCCGTCGTTGTGGACGACCTTCCACTTGCCTGGCCCGGGGGACTGCGCACAAGTGAGCGAGGAGGACTCGGTCCCTGGGGCTCTCCGAGGACATGTCTTCCAGGTCCAGTGTGGGAGTGCGATGTGTGTGTGTGTGTGCGTGTGTGTATGTGTGTGTGTGTGCGTGTGTGCGTGCGTGCGTGCGTGCGTGCGTGCGTGCGTGCGTGCGCGTGCGCGTGTGCGTGTGCGTGCGCGTGCGCGTGCGCGTGCGCGTGCGCGTGCGCGTGCGCGTGTGCGTGCGCGTGCGCGTGCGCGTGCGCGTGCGCGTGCGCGTGCGCGTGTGCGTGTGTGCGTGTGTGTGCGTGTGTGTGTGCGTGTGTGTGTGTGTGCGTGTGTGTGCGTGTGTGTGTGTGTGTATGTGTTTGTGCGTGTGTTTGTGTATGAGTATGTGTGTTTGTGTGTGCGTCGGTGGTGAGTCACAAGCGGCGAAGTCCAAATCGATCAACACGTGATATACTAGAAGCCTGCACCTGGCAGACGTGATTGGCAACGTGGAGGGGGCCAAACCTATTCGGACACAGTGGAAGAGGGAACCAAACTCTCAACACCGACGCTTTTCTCCGACCTTGCAGTGACATTCGCACAGGAAAGCGGACCCTCGTGTATACGGGCCCCTGGTGTACACATGCTTCGCTGTTACCCCCGGAATCGGACGCAGCAACGTGTACACCACACCACCCCCCGACGTCGTCCCCGACCCTAAAAACGTCCCGGGAATGAAATGCAGCCCGCCACTGGTAACGTGTATGCTCCAATTTCTGGCGAAAGGCGGCGCTTCAGACGCAGGTCCGCTCGGGCTGCCCGGGGCGCCTGCCGGGGCCTCTCGGACCGCCGTCTATCGTCGGGGCCTCCGCGGGCCATGCTGGGACTCCGTGGGGCCCTCCCCGGGGCTTCCTGGGCGCCGGGCCCTCGGGGGGCGCCTCGGGGAGAGCCCGTGGGGCCTTCGCGCCAGGTCCGCCTCGGGCCCCCCGCGGGAGCCCCGTCGGAGGATCTCGGGGCCCCACGATCGAAGACACGCCGTGCGGCCTGCCCCGACAGACGGCCTCCCGGGGCCGTTACGGGGGCCCCGCGAGACCGACAACACGAGCCACGGGAGCGTCAGATCTTGTCACTGCCGTCGCGCCCCGGAGAGGCAGCCAAGCTGTTGAGGGATCCGCTCCATCCCTGCGCGGGTTGATCAGCCAGGACAGCGAGCGTACCACAAACACACGGCTGAGTCAGAATGCTTGCGTGCATCCGGCGGTCGAGCTGATAGATGGAAGCAGCTTGCTGTTGCACCTGATCCGCATGACGTGGCCACGTGAGCTCCGTGTCCCATGCGCACGATTGTCGCAGAGATGGCAAGGATAAAAAGGGACAGGACGAGGGGGAAGGCCAGGGCGGCATTCCTCCCTCACATCTTCTTCGCAGTCTCCCCCCACAACCACCTCCTCGTCCTTTTCTTCCTTCTCCTTCTCCTTCTCCTCCTCTTTCCCTTTCCTCCCTCCCCCTCCTCCTCCTCCTCCTCCGTTTCCTTCTCGCTCGTCCTCCTCTTTCCCACAGGTGGCGACTACCCCGCTCAGAGGGATGGTCCCAAGAGGACCCCAAGAGGGTCCCGAGGGGACTCCAAGACGGCCCCACGATAGCTCCGAGGAGCGCCCCGATGCCTCAGACCTCAGCATTGCTGTGCCATCACCTCGCACCTCCAGCTCCAGACACCTCGCATAGGCATAGCTCCTGGATGGGATGGTGGCGACACGCCAAACGTTCAGAATTCGTGTTTTTCATTATATTCCTGGCCCAGGTCGGCGCAGGAAGGCCGAAACCACGACTCCAGTATGGGACGCACAGAGCCATACTTACCAGTACTACATGTCCTCCGTGGAGACGCGTGTCCGACCCGAAAAAAAAAATACACCCATCTCGTAGGAGATCCTTTGCCGAGCGGTGTGGCCAGGAGGCGCCCGACGTGCGCGTGGCCCCTGCGGGGGGGCGACGCGCACGCAGTATTTGTATGTTGGGGTGGCACCGATGACAACTCAACCAGTCTTGAACCACCGATATGAAGGGGCCCCAGGACACACAAATAAATACACACAAATAAAACTATGCCCCATATTATCCCATATTTTCTGGGTTTCTGTCTTCCCCCCCACTTCCCATATTTTCCCATATTTTCTGAGGAATCGAGGATTAATTGTGTCTGTGTGTTTTTTCCTCTCCTGACGATAGCCCTGACCACGTCCAGAGCTTCGACGTCAAGACGCAGCGCACGGTGACGAGCGGCGAAGACCAACGAACCACAAGTAACTTGCCACTCCACGGGGGCGACCTTCGAGATGTGGTCCTCCGGGGGGAGGGAGCTCCTTCGAAGGAGAAACAATGGCATAACATACACTTTTGGCGCTCCGCGCGGGCTCCTCGGCGCGCGGAACGCGCCAGGGGGGCCCCAGCGCAGATCCCAGAAACCCGCGCGGAGGGCCACGAGTTGATCTTATGTTTGTATGTGTTCCTTCGACCTCACCCCGTGGGCAGATATTTTCACACCGAGCCGTGCTTATCAGGTCCTGGGACCCTGCGAGGGTCGGCGGCTCGCACGAGGGGGTAGGGGGAGGGGGGAAGGCTTCTGAGAAGGATCCTTCTCTTCATCCTCTTCCTCCTCCCCCCTCCTCCTCCTCCTCCTCCTGCTCCTCCTCCTCCTCCTCCTCCTTTTCCTCCTGAGGCTGCCTCTTAGAAGGCACGGGCCTTCCGTTTGCAGACGAGGCCCGCGCCTCCTAAGAAGCAGGCGTACTTCCAAGGAGCCCTCCCCCCTCTCCCTACCCAAAAAGTCGGGCGTGTCCCCCTACAGGGGGATCTTCGACGAGCAATAAAACATACTCAAACAACATTCCCAAATGGCCGGAAATGTTGCAAAAATAGTCCCCAGACCATTGTTTGCCTATTTTGGAATATTCCCCTGTAGACGGACAGGCCCGACTTAACCTGCCCCCCTAGGGGGGCAGGTTAAGTCGGGCCTGTCCGTCTAGGGCGCAGGAGGGGCAGGTTAAGTCGGGGCGCAGGAGGGGCCCCTCCTGCGCGTGGCCTGTAGAGGGGGGCCCCGAAGACCGAAGACAGCAAAGCGACTCCCGTGGTGACTTTGGCCTCGCCGCGAGCGCGCCCAGGCCGACGACGGAGGAGTTGAGCAGGGACCGACCGTCCCGGCAATCCTATAGGCCTACCACACAATTTTCTTAGACCCCCAAACAGTTTGATGTGCTCGGAGCGTACTGACTACCTACCGGACCACCCCAACTCAACCCGAAGACCCGAATTTCGGGTTGGGGGGGGTATGGGCTCCATGTGTGTTTTTTCGATGTTCCCGGACCCCCCCCCACACTGGAAATGGAGGGCAAATTCAGGCCTTCGGGTTGGGTTGGGGTGGTTTGGTGGGTGTTGAACACCCGATGTGTTGAAGCAGGGCAGCCTCGGTCAGAACAATGTTCTACGAACGCGTCGTGCAGGCCACCAGAGGTCCTTAAAGCGTGTCTTGGCGGGCCCATCGGCGAGCCAGGACGCTCCGCTTCGCCTCTGCTCGAGCGATGGCGCGGCGGCCGGGGCCTATGGGCCGGGCCTCGAAGCCGTGGCACATGCCCGGCTGGTGGGCGTGCGAGGTGCACCTGACGCCGGGGATGTGCGAGGGCCAGGGATGGGCGGCCAGCGAGGAGGGGAAGCGAAGAGGAGAGGGCCTGCTCGGCAGGCGGCGGGGCTGCTCAGGAGGCGTTCCGTGTCTTCTGGCGACCTGCCAGACCACCCCAGCCCCCAACCCGAAGGCCCGAGCTTCGGGATGGGGGGGGTACGGGCTTCATGTGCTTTTGTCCATGTTCCCCCCACTGGAAATGGAGGGCAGATCGGGGCCTTCGGGTTGGGCTGGGGTAGTTTGGTAGGCGGTGATAATCGGGGACGGCCCCGCAGACTTCTCAAGAGGCCGGGGGAACTTCCGGACCTTCTGAGGAGGCCTTCTCTCCTCCTCCCCTTCCCCCCCCTTGGGCTCGCCGCCGATGGAGGGCGGTGGGGAAAGAGACGAGCTCGTCCCCATTCCCAGAGAAACACCAACGATGCAAGCATAAGTGATGGGGCCCAGGGACACACAAATAGATACACGCAAATCCAAGGATCCCCCGTATGTTTCAATCTGTTGAGGATTTTCGTCTTCCCCCCCACTTCCCGTATTTTCGAATATTTTCCTGGTCGTCCTGATCTCCCGCTCCTTCCACTCCAGTTCCTGCTGCTGCTGCTGCTGCTGCTGCTGCTGCTGCTGTTCGTCTCGCCCCAGCTCGGGCCACTTTTCTGAATCCGAGGCTCGCTTCATCGTTGTCGCACCCAGCATTTCCCCTCCTCCGCTTTCCCGTGGTCCTCGTTTCCCTCCCGATCCTTTGAAATCCTGCTGCTGCTGCTGCTGTTCATCCTCATTCGTTTCCTCCCGGTCATCCTCCTGCTCACCCGCCACCTCCTCCTCCGCTTGTGATTGCAGCTCCCCTTGTTCCGATTGCGCAAAACACGAAGTGGTCTTTCTGTGTGAGCCGCAGGTCGGCTATGACACGCGTCCGCGGATAGAGAAAAGTCAGCGCCATGGGAAGGCGTGGGACTGAGGGATAGAATGCCAGGTGAGGCGCGAGCGCACCCAGCTTGCCCCCTCCTTCTGTCTCCCTCTCTCTCTCTCCCCCTCTCTCTCTCTCCCTCTCTAGCTCTCTCTCTCTCTCTCCCTCCCTCTCCCTCCCCCTCTCCGGCCCTTTCACGTAGGTGGAGGTCGCCCCCCCCTCTCTATCCCCCGCTCTCTATTCCCCACCTCCGCGTGCGCCGCTGCCCGCCAGACCGGGGGGCGCCGGCGGCGGCCAGAGTGAAGCGAGGGCCGGGGGGGCACCCCCCCCCCAAAAAAAAACCCAAAAAACAAAACCCGGCCGAGGAAACGAGGAGGGGGCGGGGGAAGAGGGTTCTTTTGTGACCGCAGAGCCCGGCCGAGGAGGCGAGGAGGGGGCTGTGGAAGAGGGTTTTTTTTGTGTGACCGCAGCACCGTGCCCTGGGGAGTGACACCAGGGTAATGGTGTTCTCGTCCTACTTCGGGACCACATCCCGGAAAGAATGTCGAGCCCCCGGAAAAGTGTCAAAAGAGTGTCGAAAGGATGTCAAAACAGTGTCGGGCGAGTGTCTCCCCAGGGCCCGGCACGTGGAAACCCTCGAGTTTCGGCACTTTTTGGGGGCGCTCGAAATTCTTCCTGGCGATCAAGGCTAAAGTAGGCTGGAGCATCGTAACACCAGGGAAGAGGCCAGCTTGTCTGGCACAAGAAGGACCAAGGCGGTGGCCGACGCGACGGGCGGACACCCCAAAGACCCAGGGCCAGCAGGAGCCACCGAGAACCCCGCGGGCCCCACGCGCGCGAGCAGCCACCCGAGACGCACGCTTGACGCGTCGGGCTGCCCGCGCTGGCCTTCCTTCAACGCGTTGGTGGAAAGAGGCCACTCGGCTGGGGAAGAGGGGAGACGAGAAGACAGAGGAGGAGGAGGGGAGCAACATTCATTCAGGACGCAACTCCCGGGAACTCGAGTTCAACATCGGCGCAGGCACGTCCGTGGTCAAAAGCCGACCAAATCCAGCCGAAGCCTTCTCAGTCGGGCAAAGTCCTGGGCTTCATCTGGGCTGATCCCTCTTAACGGCCCCTTTCACTCAACAACCCTTAGTACTTCACACGAAGACTATCTAGGAAATCCCTCCCAAATTCATGAGGAGGGTTGGCTGGATGTTGCTTATTCTCTACTTGATGCGTTTGTGTCAGGGTCGGCGGCACGGTGCCGCACGCCCCTTCATGGAGGCACCATCCAAGTCTTCGAGCAGGCGAGGGACGTCGTGAATAAGACATAGCTGCCAACGGTAGGGCAGAAGCAGGTCGTCGCTGGAAGGGGGACAGGGGGTAGAGGAGAAGAAGAGAAGGAGGAAGGGACGGGATGCGCAGGATGAGAAGGATCAGAAGGAGGCACAAGGAGATGCGCGGATGTGAGCAGGATGGAGGCGGAGGTGGTGCTACTGACCCTCGCACTCCTCCCAGTGCCCGCTCCCCCGATTCTCGCCGTGACCTCTCCCTGCGCCTCTTCCCCTGTCCTCAACCTCCCCCTCCTTTGCTCATGCCCCTCCCCTCCTGCTCCTGCGTCGGTTCCTCTTTACTCCCGCTCCCCAACCTCTTTTTGTCCAAGAAAGGCTCCTGTTCGAGCTCCTGAGTGACCTTCGGCCGATGGCTTCATGGCGCAAGAATCCCACCAGCCCTTGAGGGCGTCGGTGGTTTAACGAGTTTCCTCTTCCACCCCTCCTTCTTCCCCTTCGGGGAGGGGTTTACCCCTCCCCCTACCCCCTCCCCACTGACCTGGACAGGGGGGGCCGCGATCGGTCAGAGCGTCCAAGATCGACCCCTGGGAGGGCTAAAATTCGACACCCCTCACGAGGATCATGGCTCCTGAGGGGGGGCTGAAATTTAGGAACCCCCATTCGTTGATCGATCTCCTCCAAGATGGCTCCGAGAGACGTCTTGGACCCCCTCTTGGGCCCTGCGCGCGGGCGGGCGGAGCGCCGCCCGCCCGCCCGCAAGGCCCAAGAGCCCACCAAAACGTTCGAAGATACTTCCAAGACGCCACCAGGGAAGAGGAAGATGAGGAGGAAGAGGAGGAGGAGGAGGAGGAGGAGGAGGAGGAGGAAGGAGGAGGAGGAGGTGAGGGAGGAGGAGGAGAAGAGGAGGAGGAGGAGAAGGCGGAGGAGGAGGAAGAGGGGAAGAAGAACAGCTGCCGATCATCGGCGCTCTTCGTTCGAGCGCCTGGTGTAGGATGGGCTGGTGGGGATACGCGAAGCGTCAAGAATTCCAGAACGACTGCCTTGCCGACCGCATGCTGGCGATCCAACATGTCAGGTGTTTGTTGCCCTGGACTGCTCCACATGACGCGATTGGCGTTGCTGGATGCTGGAGTTTGCTATTACAACGCATGGCAGAAGGGAAGATCCGCTGCCCCTCAAGCGGGCGATCCTAGGGGGTAAACGAACCTACCTCGCTTTCGACCACCATCGCTTCCAAGAACTACCAAGCGATGCCAGACTACGGCCCGCACTGGTCAGGCCGCTCGACGGGGAGGCGCGTGGTATGACTTGGTCTTGCCTGGAATCGAAAGCGGGGTAGGTAATTCACGCTCTGAGATCCCGCACCACGGCCAAGGAAGGCAACGCAGCAGGCTGATGCAGAACCATCGCCCAGACCGCGCAGCAAGCCTGCTTAACAGGGTGCCCCGCGAGCGTGGCCGGAACACCGCCGATCGAAGCCGGCCGCGGGGCGATGCTGGCAGTTACCGAAGTGCCTCCCCTCTCAGCCCCTCCCTCTTAACCCCCCTCCCCCTCACGGTCGTCGTCCTCAAGGGCGCCGTCGCCGGCGGCGCCGCTGTCCCCCGGCCCGCCTCCGGCGAGGAGGAGCAGCAGCAGCAGGAGGGGCATGCCGATCGGGCGCGGGAGGCGGGCGGGCCGAGCGCAGGGCAGGGGGCTCGGGCGGCGGCAGGGGGGGCCTCTCCTCGATCCTCCTCCTGCCCAGACCCCCGGCGTCACGACCTGTTGGCGGCGTCGGCCCCCCAGAGGTGTCTCGACCCATTCCCCGGGGGGCCGGCTTCTCATCCCGAGTCGTCCGGTGGGCGGCACCAGGGCCCGGTGAGGGCCCGTGTGGAGGCCGAGAAGGGCGAACAACCTCGCGTCGCGCTTTTTGTCTCATCGCGAGGGGGTCTGGATCCTCCTCCTCCCCGATGCTCGATCCTCCTCGATCCTGGATGCTCGATCCCCCTCGCTCCTCCTCCTCCCCCTTCTCTTCTTCCTCCTCCCCGATCCTCGATACCTCTCGATCCTGGCTGCTCTACCCCCCTCGCTCCTCCTCCTCCTCCTCCTCCTCCTCCTCCTCCTGTTCCTCCTCCTGTTCCTCCTCCTCCTCCTCCTCCTCCTCCTCCTCCTCTTCCTCCTCCTCCTCCCCGATCCTCCTCGATCCTGGATGCTCGATCCCCCTCGCGCCCCGAACCTCCTCCTGCGGCAGGCGGGGGCGCCCCGAGCCGTGCGAGCGGCCGTGCGCGTCGTGCGGGCTGCCCAGCAGCGGCTGGCTCTGGCCGCCGCCCGCCGTCGGGCTGGCGCTCCGTGGGGCGGGCATGGCCGTCGCACCTGGGGCGCTCTTCGCAAGCAGCGGCCGTGCGGCATTGCCTGATCGACTCTTCTCCTCCTCCCCTCCTCCTCCTCCTTCTCTCTTCCTCCTCCTCCTCCTCCTCCTCCTCCTCCTCCTCCTCCCTCCTCCTCCTCCTCCTCCTCTTGCTCTTGCTCTTGCTCTTGCTCCCCCTCCTCCTGCTCCTCTTTCTCCTCCTCCTCCTCCTCCTCCATCCTCCTCCTCCTCCTCCTCCGCCTCCTTCTGCTCCTCCTCCTCCTCCGCCTCCTCCTTCTCCTCAATCCACTGCTCCTCCTCCTCTTCCTCCTCCTCCTCCTCCTCCGCCTCCTCCTCTTTAACGTCTTCCTCCTCCTCCTCCTCCTCCTCCTCCTCCTCCGGAAGGCCAGAGGCCTTCTGAGAGGGCATCCTTCTTCTCACTTCTTCCCCCCCTGCTCGCCGCCGAAGCGGGGCGAGGAGGACGAGGACGACGGGCAGGAGGGGGGACACGACCAGGATAGAGGAACGGAGAACGGCATAAACCTAGACTGTCGGATGTCAGCGCAGATTGCTTGGATCTGCGCTGTGGCCCCTCTCCCTGGCGGCGCCTCTGGAGCAGCCCCTGGCGCGCTTCGCGGGTCAGGGATAGGGGCCCAGCGCAGATCTAAGAAATCCACATCGCAACATCCACTCACAGAGCAGATCCCCTGCTTTTGTTGACTTCTCTGGAAAGGCGGTCAGGACTCCGTCCCGAGCGACACAGTCGGTGGCCAGGCCCACCACCCCCTGCGCCCACGAAGAGGCCCAAAACAACAGGAGGACAAGCAGAAAGCGGGGAAGGCCGGAAAGGCCAGGAAGGAGGACAGCCAGCAGTTTAGGGCACTCGATCTGGGGCCAGAACTCGTTTGCTCCTCGAGACAGGACCATGAGAAGTATGGCGAGGGGACGACCGCAGAGAAGCCAATCCTCATTCTGGCTGCCGCGGGCTGGCCTCGCCCTGCTCCGCAAGCAGACTGGACGACAAGGAATACGAGGCCTCGGAGGTGGGCGAGATTTGGGGATTCCGCTTCTCGCCAGTGGCCACGAGCCCTTGCTATGCCCAGACACTAACAAGGTGAAACCCACTGTGTGGAAAAGCAAGTCCAAGAGGCACTCCTTGCTATGTCTTGGCCTCGGCCTTCCGGCTCCGCAGCAAGCCCTTCTTCTCGTCGTGTTATCGAGCTTCTGCACTGCTTCCTGGCCATGCGCGCATCATCACCACCACCACCACCACCACCATCATCATCATCATCATCATCATCATCATCATCATCATCATCATCATCATCATCATCATCATCATCATCATCATCATCATCATCATCATCATCATCATCATCATCATCATCAGCATCAGCATCATTATCAGCATCAGCATCAGCATCAGCATCAGCATCAGCATCAGCATCAGCATCCTCCTCATCATCATCATCATCATCATCATCATCATCATCATCATCATCATCATCAACATCAACATCGTCATCATCAGCATCAGCAGCAGAACCAGCAGCATCATCATCCTCATTCTCCTCCTCCTCCTCCTCCACATCCTCACCAGCATCATCATCAGCATCATCATCATCATCATCATCATCAGCATCATCATCACCACCATCACCATCATCAGCAGCAGCAGAAGCATCCTCATCCCCATCCTCATCCGCATCCTCCTCCTCCTCATCCTCACCAGCATCAGCATCATCATCATCATCACCATCATCATCAGGAACAGCAGCATCCTCATCCTCATCCTCCTCCTCCTCCACATCCTCACCAGCATCATCATCAGCATCATCATCATCAACATCAACATCATCATCCTCATCACCATATCCGTCACCATCTCCATATCCATCACCATCACACGCCATCACCATCATCCCTCCCACGCCTCTCCTCCGTCTCCTCCGTCTCCTCCTCGTCCGACGGCCGAGGCGGCAACGAAACCAACAACGAGCACGACGACGACGACGACGACGACAACGACGACGACGGCGACGACGACGACGACGGCGGCGACGACGACGACGACGAAGGCGCGCCTGGCGCCCGCCCGCGGGAGTCCGCGCGCGCCCGCTCCTGGGCCGGGGCGCCCGAGCGCCTCAAACAAAGCAATGGCTGCGGCGGGGGGGCCGGGGGCCGCGGGGCGACGGGGGCGGGCGCCTCGTCGTGGGCGCCTCCGCCCCGTCCACCTCCTCCTGCTCCTGCCAACCCCTCCTCCTCCTCCTTCTCCTCCTCCTCCTCCTCCTCCTCCTCCTCCACCTCCTCCACCTCCTCCTCCTGCCACCTTCTCCTCCTCCTCCTCCTCCTCCTCCTCCTCTTCCTGCCCCCGACCCCGTCGTCGACCATCTCGCTTTCCTCCTCCTCCTTATCCTCCTCGTCGTCCTCCTCCTCGTGTCTCTCTTCCTCATTTTTCCGTTGGCCTAAGCATCGAGGCGCTTGCCATCTTCCAATGATAATGAAATGAAGAATCCGACTTAGCGAAACGCGTTCTCCTCGTCGTCCTCCTCCTGTGTACGCATTGTTCGCTGGGGCTTCCAGTGAAAAACGCCCGGGGAGACACACACACACACATATATATATATATATACACACACACGCATCCAAGGATCCCGCATCCCTTGACACACGTTCTTGACTTCCGTCTCCCCATCGACGTTCGTGCGTGTCTCTGCCCGACAGGACGGGCTCCGCCGGGCGCCCCGCCTCGCGTCGGCGGGCATCCCGAGCGGCAGCATCTTGAACAGGACCGGGCACCTGTCCCTGAGCTCGGTCCAATGCGCGGCCGCTCCTTCGGGCGCCGAGCTCCAGGGGGGGGGTGGACGGGGGGGCGCGCGAAGGGGGAGAGGAGTTGGGACCGCGCGCAAAGACACTGCCAGGTTCCGCGGGAAAGCAGGCCAGTCCAAACAAAAATCCTGGACAACCCGGGCAAACGAGGCTGACGAATGGCGACAGAGCGACCCCCTGGGACAAGCCCCAGGACAAAACCCAGCGGGGCTCCGGATAACCCCACCGGTCAAGCCCCCTTGGACAAGGCTCCCCCTGGCAATGACGCTTTTCCACCAGGTATCGTGCGGCATCCAGGCCCTGTCCCATGGGGCTCCACAGTGGAACGCCACAAACAAACGTGCAGGCTATCATGTTCTGGCCTGTCTTCCTGGCAACAGGTACCGAAACACATCTATCCACTGTGCGCTGGGCCGCAGTCTGCCACTGATTGGTGGACAGACATAACACTGGACGTTTCCCAGGCCCCGAAAAGACTGGGAGGCAACTTTCTACCGCCATCCACTGGAGCCTCCCATACCATCTCACTGGCTCTTACCAATCAACACTGATCGACGCTGACAGACGCTAATCGATTCTCAATCGACGCTAGTCGACGCGAGTCGACGCTAAATCGGCGCTAATCCAGCGCTATCTCATCGGCTTCCAGACGCTAGTCAACGCGAGTGCGCTCTGACGACGGAATGGCGAGGTATACAAAACGCCCATGACTTGCTACTGCGAGGGGGGGGGGATTGGGAGGCAACGTCTGCGAGCCCTCCCAAGAACAATGGGAGACGATTAAACCCGAAGGGCACAGTCAGCCGGGTTGGCCCAGATTGAGCCCAGTATTGAGCTGATTGAGCCAGACCTGATCTCAACGGGATTATGCCTGATTGGGCTGGTTTCCGTCAACGGATGTATACCAGCGTTCATGCTGGCCCGAGCCTATCCTCGACCAAGATCGGTCCACACGCCACTCCACTGGCTTGGCCAGAGAGGAGTATGCACCGATCCCAAGTCCAGGATGGGCCGGGTGCACGATCGGTGTATGTGCACACAGTTATCTTCGCCCATGCAGTGGAGCAGGAGCAGATTGTTGAAAGGTGACCCCGAATCTCCGACGGCATCAGTTGCTCCGTCTGGGTGCCTTTCCTCATCTTCGGCCTCCAAGGCCCATTATCAAGCCCCGGAGCCATCAAAAACAAGCCCCGGACTGAAAATCTGACCTGAGGGAACAGGTCGGGACCACTAGGGCCCCGGATTGAAAACATAAAGAAAAACATTGTAGGTAATATCTGGGGCGGCAGAGGAGAAGGAGCGAAATGATCATCAGCATCGGCAAGGGGGGCCTCGCGGAGAGTCCCTTGCGGAAGAAGCTCGCAAAAAGACGGGGCCGTCCTGCCCGTAGCATGGCGTTCCTCACGACGGACTCCCTGCCGTCGGCGCCAATGACGAAGTCGGCATCCACCTGCGGGCGGTTCAACGATCGGGCCACGAGTCATGGGGCCAAGAGCACGAGTGGCCTCAGACAGTCAGAGACCCGCTGATATAGGACTCCTCTCTTGCTGTCAGGGCCCCACCCCTCAGGACCCCATCTCTGAACCACTGGCCCTGGGCGCCCCCGTGCTCCCCGCTCCAGGGCTGGAACCCGCGTGTGCACGCGGCCGAGCGGGGGTCGTGTGGAACAGAAGGCCCTCCAAGAGTGATGCGTGCCGACCTGAAGCTTGGACCCTGTCTGAGCATGTTCTCAGGGTGGAGGGCCCAGAATGAAATCCACATGGGCACTTGCACCTCGAAACTCAACCCGTCTTGTGATTCACCTTTTGCAGATTCAAGCCTCAAACATCCATCGAAACGGCCTTTCAGATGTCACCCTTTGCCCTCTACCCAAAGAAAATGTTCGGTCTGTGGAACATGGGCGAACTTGACAGAGATATGAACGTATGATGCTTGCGGATCCTCCTGCGCGGCTGCCGGACAGAACCGCAGCAGCATGGCCGCATCGCAAACAGTGGGCCGCGAGAAGACCCTACGAGAGTGAAGCGCATGCTGCAATAATACTGCAAATCCTCGATCCCACGGTGGTACCTGGCTCCTGCTGGTGTTGTCGGCCGCATTGGTGCGACGTTCGGGCGAGAAGGTCTGAGCAACCATCATGACTACAATACAGCAGGACGCACATGGTGCGTACCGTCGAACGCACGAACGCACGAGTATTCGCAGGGCCTGCGGACACGTACAGGACAGACCAGAGGCCTCCCGAATGCTGTCCGAGCAAGTGGCGTCGGAGGATCGTGCCGCATCGCCGATGCATCGGCGACGTCGACGCGGAGAAGGTCGGGCTCCACATCGAGCCGCATCGGCGATGCATCAGCGATGCAGAGCGCCCTTCCGACCCCATCTACTCGGACCCCACCTGAGAGGCCTCGAGAGAGGCCCCCCGCAAATGGTGGTATGACTTCGTGTCAGACGGCAGCGGAAGACGTCGGCGGGCGCAGGCATGTTGTCCGAGAGAGTGCGCCCACCAACACAGCCCAAACGCAGCGCCACCGCTGGGCCACGCACTTGGTTGGCCAACGGCCTCCTCCCCCCGACACCACGCCCCCACCCCCACCCCCCGCATGCGTGCGCGCATGACGCTGCACCGTCCCGTGTGGTGCAGAAACAAATCCGCCGCAGTCGCCAGGTGCTTTCACGAGGTTGCGCATCCCTGCGCAACCCGACATGACGCGCCACTGTCGATGTATCGCCGATGCATCGGACCATGATGTTCCCAGGCAGCGCCTGCTGTCAGGGAGCCGTACGCGGCTTGTCGTGATGATCCTGAGGGCCCGAGGCATGACTGGCCCAACCGAAGCTTGGGCAACTTGGAAACTCCCGCGTGAAACGCATCTGCACTTCCGCGCAACACCGCCCCAGCGCAACACCGCCCCCCGCCGAGCCCTCCCTCCGTGCCCCCACGACGCCGACCCCCCCCCCCCGGCCGGGCAGCCCCCCCCCTGCAGGGCCAGGGAAGCCGCGCGGGCCACACGCCGTCCAGGCCCCGTCCGCGGCCCTCCCCGCCAGGAGACGCAGCCCGCCTCGAGCTCGCCCCTATCCCCAAGCACTGACAAGCTCAGAGGCGACAGCCATTCTCAGGGATGCGCCCTCAGAAGTCGAGGGAATTCTTGAAATCGGCATCGAGAGAAGGGGGTGCTAATCATAAGCATACGGTTGGGTGGGGCATGTCTTCCTACATGCGGATTTTGGACGAACAATGAAACATAACCAAAACATACTCGAACACTATCAGAAAATAATCGAATCATCGTCCCCATTTCATGTTAGACTATGTTGGGGTATTCCTCGAGTGGGGGGGACATGCCCGGCTGAAGGGTAGGGGGAATGGTTCAGGCTAGTAAAGGAGGAGGAGACAAAAGGAAGAAGATGAGTGCGAATGACGGTGGCTCGCCCCGACGGCGACCAACGCGCGTGCGACTTGAGATGGGCCCGCGTGGCAAGCCAAGCGATTAACACGTGCACGACAAATCCGCGACTATGCGAACTACGGATTGGCGTTGTGCACGTGTTGGCGAGGAAGGGCGCTCCGGGACCACCCGGGATCATGGTCTGGCGGCTGCGGATTGCAGGGCTGGCGAGGTGGGGTACTCAACGACCTCTCGGGATCATTTGGGGCTGGCGATCGCGGTATGCAGGGCTGACGGGCGGGCAGATTCCCAAAAAGCAGCAACCCCGCCTGCCGTGTTGGAAACACGTCATCCAGTGCAGCATATAAAAAGGGTCGATAAGGGCATGAGACTTCAATATTTAACAACATGCGAAACCAGGAACCACGCCTGGGCCCCTTCCCATCGCCAGCTCCGCCATGAGAAGCAATTTCTTGCATAATGCTCATACGTACGAAGCGTGGGGGCTGGCCAAAGAGTATGCTGCACGAGAAAACCAAACTTCCACCAGCGCGGCTGATCGATGCGGTCAGGGAAGAATGGCTGCGCAAGCGCGCTGTGAGTGCCCGTGGGGGCAAGATCGAAGGACGCTCGGTGAAACAAATTCCGTGCATGCTGCTGCATAGACATGTTATAATCCCCGCGAGGCCTCAAAACCCCCGAACGATCCCATACATGCACCTGTCCGTGCATGGGATCGGTTGACATTGCGCCCGTGTCCCGTATTCCGCGCCTCGCCTGCAAAAGCTCTAACATCTGCTTCCCCCTTGCCCATTCACCCGCGCCCTGCCTTGTCTACCCTCGCGCAACGGTTTCGCACCTCCTGCGCGGAGTTGTCGCACCCCCGAGTGCACGCAGAGAGCGCGCAGCGGCCACGGCAACTACGGGAGCACCTGCCGGTGGCCTGCGGAGGCGTCGTGCACCTGGCATGGCAGGAGAGGCACGCGCCGCGCAGTAGTATGCCACGTCTGGGATCTCACGTCTAGAGGGCAGCATAATCACCATCAAATGCGGTCAGAAACATGTGCTTGGCGTGCCGAGGCGGCGGCCGCGCTCTGGCCCGGCGCGCCCGGCTGCTGCTGCCCCCCCGGCTGCTCATCGTCGAACTCTTCGGCGTCTGAGTGTCCCTTCTTCCTCTCGGCCGCCGCCCCCCCCCCCTTTTTGCTCGCCGGCCAATGCGCTAATTCGTGCCCCTGTCTAGCTTCTCGCTGGAGCGGAGTTCGCCGCCTCGCCGCTGACGAACCGTCGTGACGGCAGCCGGCTGCCCCCCCGCGACGCGCTCTGCCCTGCAAGCGGACAGCCTGTCGCTCCGACCAGCTGGGCGAGTGGCTCTGAAGAGCTCGGGACACTGACGCTCGGGTACTCAGAAGTGGTTAGCGTGTCGCGTCGAGGCGTGGTGCAACATTTTTAAATCTGCGGGGCGAGAGCGAACCTCTTCCGCTAAAAGCTAGGCGGGCTACACACAGCTTGAATTAGGGAGACAGGGCACAGGAACGCGGGGCCACAGGCGTGGTGCAACGCGCTACGTTCAGGTCGGGCCTGTCCCCCTACAGGCGGATCCGGGGCGGAAAATTGAAAACACTCCAAAATGCCTAAAAACAGATTCAAAACAATACCCCCCGAACTCGTCCCCGGACTGTGTTTTGCATACTTTCGGAGGGTCGCGGTGCTCGTTCCTCCCTCGGGAGCGGCCAAGAGGGGGGTGTCCAAGAGGGGGGGGTGCAAATCATGACCGGCGGCATGTGCGCGGCCCAGCGGGGGGGCCTGGGGCGTAATGAAATAAGAAGAGGCGCCATGAAATCTGGGGAAATATCATGGCCCCCGCCATGATATCCTCCCCCCCTAGTCATCACCCCCTCTTTTCCGCCCCCGACTCCCCCGACTGTCCACGAAGCGAGGCGGGGCCGCCTGGAAGCTGGAACCGCTGCTGCCCCCGCCGCTCGGCTCGGCGTCGGCCCGCGGCTCCCTCCTGACGACCTACCAGACCACCCCAACCCAACCCGAAGACCCGAATGTCGGGTTGGGGGGGGGTAAGGGTTCCACATGTGTTTTTTCGATGCTTCCCGAACCCCCCCCCCCCACTGGAAATCGAGGGTAAATCTGAGCCTTCGGGTTGGGTTGGGGTGGTTTGGTGGGTGGTGACCTCCGGCGCTGGCTCTCCGAGCCGGGCTCCCCGGACGCCGGCCGGCTGCACCGCCCCGCCCACGAAATCCTGCTCACGCCCTCCCTGCCCCATCTTCTCCTGCACCTCCTCCCTCCCGTCGCCCCCGCCCTCTCTCCCTCCCTGTCCTCTCCCATGCATTCCCGCCTCCTCCTCCTCCTCCTCCTCCTCCTCCTCCTCCTCCTCCTCCTCAGCAGCATCAGCATCATCATCACCATCAGCATCATCAACCTCATCACCAGTACCACTATCATCATCATAATCAGCAGCAGCATCAGTACCAGCATGAGCAGCACCAACAGCATCATCGAACACCGTGTCGTTACAAACATCAGCATCATCGTCGTCGACATCGTCGTCTTCATCATCACGATCATCATCATTGTCATCGTTATCGATAGCATCATCAATATCACGAGCGTCAACAGTAACACCATCATCGCCATCAGCATCAGCATCAACATCATATTCAGAATCGTATTGATATTCATCCCGGTTATCATCATCATCATCAGCATCATCATCACCATCATCAAGACCATCAGCATCATCTCCATAATCGTCATCATCACCACAGTCATCATCATCAGCATCATCAGCAGCATCACGATCACCATCTTCATCATCACCACCAAGGTCGCCATCATCACCATCATGGTGTCCATCACCACAACCAGCACCAAAATCACTTTCACCATCATCGACATCGTCGTCGCCATCACCATCACCATCATCATCACCATCATCCTCATCCTCATCCTGCAAATCATCACTGCACCCTCAGCATCATCAACATCAGTATCATCAGCATCACCACCATCAGCATCGGCATCGGCATCATCATCATCATCATCATCACCATGGTCATCATCATCATTATCATCATCACCAGCATCATCATCAGCATCGTCATCCTCGTCATCACCACCACCACCAGCATCATCATCATGATCATCACAAGCATCATCGTCGCCAGCATCATCACCATCAGTATCGTCATCATCACCATCATCGTCATCATCATCAGCAACATCAGCAGCAGTAGCATTACCATGACCATCATCATTATCCATTCTCCCAACTCCCCGTCGCGTCCATTCCGTTATCCTTCTCATCACTGCCTCATGATTGCATGATCTTTCTCCTTCTCCTCTTCTTCCTCCTCCTTCCTCTTGCCGCCTCGTTCATCAGATTATCATGCTCCTCCGCCTCCATTGATTATCCCTCCTCCGTTCCCCTCCTCCTCTTCTTCCTCCTGATCCCTCCTTCGCTCATCTGCGCCTCCCTTCCCCTGCTTACCTCCTCCTCCTCCTCCTCATCATCATCATTATCCCTCCCGGCCTCCTCCGCTGCTGGGAGGAGTCCTCGCAACCTCGAGAGACAAGGAACCAGATGGCCTCAGTACGCAAGTGTAGAGCTGAAGAGGAATACTCGTTGCAAACAAACTTCTCTCGACCCCCTGCCCATCTGTACGTCCCCCGTGCCCCTCCTGCTCCTACTCCTCATGTCTCTCCTTCTCTTCCTCCTCCTCCTCGACCCTTACCTGTTCCTGGTGGGCAGCTCCCTACTGGCACATCTCAGTGCATGTAGGCTGGGGGTGCCGCGTCAATATTCGTCTCAACTGATGCTCCTGACGAGTGAAACACCCAACAACTGCATGTGCGTAGGCGCTCGCACTTGCCACAAACTCCCCAACGGGAACACGGATATGGCAACTAATCCGTCACCGTACCGCCCGCGAGGCACCAAGTTGCCCCGGCTTGCCGCGTGACAGCCTGGGTTTTCTCACGGGCCTCCTGGGCTGTGCCGCGTGACTTTTCCTGAGGCCAAACGCCCCCCACAAAGCACCAACAAACATCTCATGAGGGACCGCAAACGGTCAGAGAGGGCCCCGAGTCGGCCCAACAGCGCTTCCGAACCATCGTACTGTTCAGCGGCTGTTCCATACAGTGCTTCTCCGGCTCAGTAACGTCGAAGGCGTTCCCAATAGCGCCCAACGACAGCCCCCCCCCGACAGGGGGCCAATAGGTCCCCGAGACGGCCCCAAGACGGGCCGCAAACGGGTGAAGCGAAGAGGCTCTTCGAACCCTCCACCCCAAAGTTGCCCGCACATCACTTCCCCGACCCTCGGCACGCCTTCTGGAAGTGCCATACGCACACATCAGAGGCCCGTGATACGCCCCGAGCAGGCGAAACGCCCCAGAACCCTCTGAGAAAACCCCCAAAGAGGCATCCGACCATACCCCAAGCGCAGGTTGATGATGGGAATGAGGAGCGGCTTATTTATCACCCCCTCCCCCATCTCCTTTGGTTTGGAGGGGGGGGTCGCCACGGGTCGATGGAGCGTCCAAAATAGCCAAATATGGCCCCCTAAATGGTACACTGTAAACCCAAGATGGTTCCAGATAGTCTTTCACATTCATCCAAAAGTCCTCCATACACCCCAATGGGGTTCCAATTGGCCGCCAAGCCTCCCAAGGCCTCCCCCGCCCCGATAGGCCAAAACCCTGTCCGAAATGTACGGACAGTGCACGTTTGTTGCCCGTTCGTCTTTTCAGGGCTGACATACACGCCGCCCCCGCTCTGTGACAGATGTCCACGAGGATGGCCCCAACAGGCCTTCGACTCCCCCAACAAAACCCTAGATGCTACCCATAGAAAAACCCCAAGAGGGCCCAAATGGCATCCACTCGCTTGGCGATTACTTCAACTGTATGGCCACACGTATCGACAACCATACATGTCGGCGGTCCGCTTCGACACGTTCATCCCGCCTCAATGGCATGCTCAACGCGCGTTCGCCTTGCGACGGGGCGCTCCTCTATAGCGAGGAGCCGTCATGAGGAAGGAACTGGTGACGCGAGGGCGCGGTGCAGCCTGATTGATGCACAATGAGTTTGCTCTGGTCCGTTTCTCCCCCCAGGGGCAGCCGAGAAGTCATAACGAAACACATCTTCAGAACTCCACCGAAAGTGCGAGGAAAAAAACGGATAATAACAAGAAGAACGTGTCCAGGTCCCCCACCCCCAGCAGCAATCGCCAACTCTTCCTCCTCCTTGCTGTGGGAGTGCACGCGCATACGGGACATTGCCTGTTGAGACCCTCCTTCGAAGATGGACGAAACACCGTTTCATAGAACGCCAGAGCCGCTGGGAACCCTCCGCTGTTGCGCGCGGGAGTGAATTTCGAGTGCACCTGGCATGGCCAATACCAATCGACGTTCCAAGAGCACCGAAAGCATCCGGCAAACAAACACGTCGAATGGCGAAACTGACAAAGGGGACTGCCCTGGCACACCGCGGAAATCAATGTCGAGTGAACTGGCGCAGAAATATTGAATCGATTTCAGGGCGGGCGTTCTCCCAAGTAGGGGAAACGTCGACGTAAACGCGAAGGTTGGGACGGCCGCGAGGACTTCTTGGATCGGCATTGGTCATCCCTGACTGGCGCCAGGGGCGACGCCAGAGGCGCCGCCAAGGGAGTTCCAGCGTCGATCCGAGAAATCTAAGCGGACTTTCACTAATTGATGTTGATGTTGGGTCTCCGGCGGCGGGTCGGGGCGATCGGCCGCCCCGGGGCAGCTCCCGGGAAGCGCCGGTCGAGGCGCTGCTGCCAGAGAGCATCCCGGGGTTGCCGCTGCCGAAAAAGGCAAGGAAACGACGAAGACGACGACGTCATCATACTTCGAACATCTCGAGGAGGAGGAGGAGGGGGGGAGGAGGAGGAGGAAGAGTTCTAATTATAATTCTACTCTGCGCGGGGCACCTGCTCTAGGCAGGCCGCTTCACGACAACGCCACAAACGTGTGGAAGCCGAAGGCGAGGAAGACAATGATGAAGTGCACCCGCGTGAATGCCGCCCGCCGCGCGTCATAAAAACTGCCACTCCAGTATCACGCCCAAGGTCTGTGGCGAGCTCATGCTTCTTGCAACCACCAGCAAGAGAAGAATTTGATACTACACACGACGTGAAACACCCAGCTGAAATACTGTACCAAAGCCGCCAACCATGACCACCACAACGCCACAACGCCGCGCAGACAAAACGCGAGCGCGCATGATGAAAAACACCGCCAGCACCAACACGACAACGAAAAAGAGCCAGGATGCGAATGACACGCAGAAAGCCGAGGCCGAAGGCCACATCCACATCGCGACAAACACACTCGCCTCCACCAATCGCCGATAAGGCACAAGGGCACACCAGGCCCTGGGCGAAGGAAATGCTAGCCGCCACGGCTCGTCCCTCAAGCCCTGCATAAAAATTGCACTGAACCGCTCCCACCAATAAACAACTGAACAAAGACCAATCTAGTAAAGATGAGCCCAGCCCCGCATTGTAATCACAAAAACGCCTTGAACAAAAATACCGACATCATGATCGCACCGTGCACCTGCACGCCCAGCAGCCCACCAACCAAGAAGCACAGCCCCATGAACACGAGGAAAGCCACATGGAAAACGAGGAGCTGCAGCATGCACTCGAAGTGGGAAACATACGAATTCAACCCGGCGTTGCCAGGAGCACCTGGGCCTCAAACGGCAGGGAGCGGCGCACCACCCCACATGAAGGACGGCCGAGCGGCGCTGCGGGGGCCCACTCGAGCCGACGTGGCTTGAGGGAGGAGGAGGAGGAGAAGGAGGAGGAGGAGGAGGAGGAGTGCACGCGCTCAAAGAGGAAGAGACGAGGGCAAGCGGGCAAGACGCGATACGAGGGCAAGATGTCTGCTCGCGTCCCGCCGCGGCTGAGCGGACTTCCAGAGCAGTGTTTTTGGCGGCGCTCTTCGCTCTGGCCACGCGCATGCTGCGGGGAGCATGAGGCCATACACTGGGAGCGGAATGTACATCGTGAGGATCATGCTGGAAAGCGGGAGAAGCAGGGATGGGTGGCAGTGAAGACAGGACGGAGAGGGGTGGGGTGAGCCAGACGGAAGGCTCAATGCTACATTGGCGGGTGGCCTCAGAGGCCTCATGAGCAGCGGCGGCCATTTCAGGCGGCAGAACATCGCGTGCAGCATCATGCAGAGCTTCTTCGGGTTGTGCGGGATGTGTAGCGTTAGCCGATCCGTGCCATTCCCTGTGCTCGTAATCCCAGCAGGTTCCCCTCTCGTGGTCGTCATCACCAGCGGCTGCGGGAAGAGGGGCTTCATGTTGGCGTCGTGTGACAGCAGCGGCAGCGCCAGCGGCAACATCATGCACTCGAGCGCCCCGTGGCGCGATGAGGCTCAGCAGCTCGGTGCACCAGTTCATCTACACGACAAGCGAGAGTCGTACTGCAGTAGCGTAATTGCAGAAGGTCCGAGCGTCGAAGGAACGGCATGCCAGGAGCTGCCCAGCCATGCTGGGATCCATCGGGAAGGACAGCGGCAGCAACAGGGGCGTCGTCAGCGTCGTCGTGCACTTGTTCGCCACCATTGCCAGCACCAGCGTATTCAACATGTAGGGGTCGGGCGCCACGCGCTGCAGCATCATAAACGACAGGACGAAGGCCAAGAAGTACTACGAGAACAAGCCGTTCGGCACCAGCGGCAGCGTCATCGTGCCCTGGCACACCACCAGCGGCAGCATCGGCATGTGCATCGCGTCGGGGTCGAGCGCCGAGCGCGGCAGCATCAGGATCGGCAGGGCGATGGGCAGGATGCGCTGTGAGAGCAAGTTGTTCGCCACACTCGGCGGCGTCGTCGTGGACTCGTTCGCCACCCGCGGCAGCATCATCATGCGTAGCGGTATCCTCGACGGTCTGGTCGCACCCCGAGGACAGGCAGGCGTCGAACACAAGGTCGAACCACGCGTCGAAGCAGCGGTGAACGGCCCGATGCCATTCGCGGACAAGGGGACGGAGAGCAGCGAGGGCATCGCCAGCATCACGAGGACGGGCGCACCCAGCGGCAGCGGCACACAGGACAGGTACATCACGAAGACGGGCGCTACCAGCGGCAGCGGCATGCACAAAAGGCCGAAGAGCATCGAGAGCAACGCCAGCGTCACGAGGACGGACAACACCGGCGGCGATGGCATGCGAAGCAGGTTCAGGAGCACCAGAGCCACGCCGAGGAAGAGGCCAAGCTACATGTTGAAGAACGTGTGGTGGAAACGGCCCAGCACCATTGCGTAGAGCTTCAGGCGCGGCATCGCCACGGGGAACACGGCCAAGGGCGGCTCCAGGAGCGTGGCGTGGGTCATGCAGACGATCGACAGCGACACCATCGGCATCGGGCTCAGCGGCAAGGTGAGCTTGACGTGCAGGCGGAGGAAGAGGACCAGCTCCGTGTCGCAGGAATGCTCGTGCGGGCACCGCATCGCGCAGAGGTCCAGCACCATCACGAAGCCCAGCAGGCACACGACGCCACTGGATGAAGTTCGCGACCTTCTCGAACTCGTGGCTGGCGCAGACGCCCACCGGGTAGATCGGGAGCAGCTCGTTCGGCATGTGTCGTTGGTGTGCTAGCTCGGCGTGGACGGGATCGCCATCAGCCGAGTGCGCCACCGCGGCGCCAGGGACGATAATATAAAAACGAAGGACGTGGCGGCAGGCTGCTCCGCGTGGGCGAGCTCGACCACGCTGCAGCCCTCGGCTGGTGCGGATGTACGAGGCCGCCAGGGATCGCGTGTGCGGCATGGCGACTGCGCACAGCAGCGGCAGGAGGCTCAGCAGCCACAGCCATTGCATAGACATGGATGGACGCCGTCAGACGCGGGCAGCGCTGCGCTCGGCCATGGGGCCTGGGGCGAAACAGTTGTGGGACCCATTTCGGCCCAAGTCCGAGATCCCACGGAGGGGACGGACTTGAGCCAAAATGACTACGGAAGGAGGAGGAGGAGGAGGAGGAGGAGGAGGAGGAGGAGGAGGAGGGAGCATGCTTGGAACTTCTCGAACCTCGAAGCGAACCTCCCCCCCCCTCTCGTCGGGTGCGCCCAAAGGGGGGGGGGCGTCCAGGACGGGGTTTTCGCAAGTCCTGGCCCGAGGCACGTGCGCGGCCAAACGGGGGACCAGGGGGCGTATTGAAATTAAGTCGGGCGTGTCCCCCTACAGGGGGATTTTCAAACCAAAAAATGCCCACCAAATGGTCAAAGAAAAACTCAACAAAATAGTCCCCGGACTATTGTTGGACTATTTTCGAATATTCCCCCTGTAGAGGGACGGGCCCGACTTAATATTAAAAGGGAAACGGAGGGGGCCATGAGATCCAAGAAGAGGTCATGGCCCTGGCAAAGATATCCCCCTCTAATCATCCTATCCCCCCTTGAGAGCAGAGGTCGACCGTCCCAAAAATACGATAGGTCTGCCACGACATGCTCTTAGAACTCCGAACTGTTCTGAATTCGCAAGCAACGCCTTGTAAAGGAAAACAAAACCGACAGAGCAAAAACAACGCTGCCTCAGACGAGCACGTTCGAAGCACACGTCGACCAAACCTCCAACACCATATACGTACATGACTTTCTTCGGTGGGAAATAAATCTGCCGGTGAGGACGCTTCGACACTGCTTGTTTCCTGGACGCCCCCGACCCACGCGCCGGCGGGAGAGCTCCGGGTCTCCTTTCTCTGCGCCGCCGCATGCTCAGCCTGGGCGCCGGCGCCGTCTCTAGGGGGCAAACAAACCTACCTCGCTTTTGACCACCCTCGCTTCCAAGAGATACCAAGCGATGCCAAACTACGGCCTGTACTGGTCAGGCCGCTTGACGAGGAGGCGCGTGGTATGACTTGGTTTTGCCTGGAAGCGAAAGCGGGGTAGGTAATTCACGCTCTGAGTCTCTCCGAGCGCACGCCCTCCGAGCGGAGCGGAGCGGCGCCGGCACGGTGCAGCGAGAGGCATGCCCATGCCCCTGGGGGCAGGGCGCAGGAGGCCGTAGCCTCAGATCGCGCGGGGGCAGAAGGGGGGGAGGGGGGTGGCAGGAGAACTGGGGCAGATGCAGGCAGCCCGTATTAGAAGGAGCCGCGGTACGGATGCAAGGGCCTTGGAGGGCCATCTTCAAGTTTTTGTCTCTTTAAAGAGGTTGGGCAACGAAAGCTGCACAGGACGGGCCGAAGGGACAAGGGTGCGAGGGTAGCCTTGGGTAGGTTGCCCACCCTTGCTGTGCGGGTTGACTGCCAGACAGCTGGCGCACCAAGGCAGCCCAAGAGCCCCCCCCCCGAGAGGGGATCCATGGCCCCCCCCCCCAGGCGCAGATATGAAAGTTGCTATACGTTAATACATATACATATATATATATGGCAGCCCAAGAGCTCCCCCCGAGAGGGGATCCATGGCCCCCCCCCCCCAGGCGCAGATATGAAAGTTGCTATACGTTAATACGTATATACATATACATATATATATACATATATATATATATGTATACATATATATATATATATATATATATACATATATATATATATATATATATATGTATGTGTGTATAGGTACCTATATATATCTATACACACATACACACATGACAAAAAAAAAAAAAGTGCGCTCAGGCGGGGCGCAAGCGCGCGCGCTCTGAAAGGTGGCGGGGCGCGGGGGCCCAGCACCCGCCCCGGGCGCACGAAGCGGCGGCTGGCGCGCGGGCGCGCGGGCGCGGCCACTCCTCGGACGGCTCCCGTCGCCACCTCCCCCCTCTGCTCCGCGGCCCCTGCGGCCAGGAACTTATGCTTACGTCGGGCGTGTCCCCCTACAGGGGGGGGGGGGTTGGACGAAAAATAAGGAATACTCTCACAAAATACCTCCAAATGGTCAATCTATATTTATTATTATGAGTATTATTATTATTATATATATATATATAAGTCCCCAGACATTTTTTTAACTATTTTTGAATATTCCCCCTGTAGAGGGGGGACAGGCCCGGCTTCAACTCTTGCCCGGCGTGTCGCGGCGCGGCGGCGGCCCCTGCGGCACGCCATGCCCCCCGCGAGCCGCCGGCGCGCCGCGCCGCTCTCGGCAGCGGGAGGCCGGGGGCAGCTCGCGACGCAGACGCCCCGGGGGCTGAGACCTGGCAGGCGTGTCGCGCCGAGATCCGCCGTGGCTGGGCTGACAGAGTTCTGCAAGCGCCCTCCCCCCCCCCCCTAAAAAAAAAATCCAGCCCCCCCCCCCCCCCCCCTCCCTTCCTCCCTGGAGTCACGATCCGAAGGTGTGGGTCAGAAACCTAGGGCCTCCCCCTCCACTTCTTCCCCCCCTCTTCCCCCTCCCAAGGAGCCAGGAGATCTGGAGCCCCCCGCGACCCCTCTCCCCCCTCCCAGGAAGCCCGGAGATCTGGGAAATCACTCGGAGGTTTCCAGAACCCTCTCCCCCCCAGGGTATTCATCGAGGGGTCCACCAATCCAAACCCCGCCATCCCCCGGCAACGACGGCGACGACGACGACAGCAGCGACGACGACGACGACCACAACAACAACGATGACGACGAAGACGACGGAGACGACGAAGACGCCGACGCCGACGCCGACGCCGACGTTGGCGACAACGTCAGCGACGTTGGCGCCCAGCCGGCAACTGACGCCAGCGCCCGCGCTGGGCTCGGATAGAATGCTACTAGGGCTCTGCTGTCCAGCTCTATCAGCACCCAGTCATGTCTCAATCTAGCTCTGCGAGAATCCGAATAAGCACTCGCTCCACCACCGATAGAATCCGACTGGGGCTTGTTCTAGCTCTGATCGATTTCTTCTAGCGCTGGGTCCCGCTTGGACTGGGTCCTACTCCTACCAGGGCTCGAGCCAGCTCTGATATGATCCTGGTACTCGGGCTGGATCAGGTTCTCCCAGAAACCTACCAGGGCTCGATCCAACCCTGATCGAATCGTATCAAGGCCCCGACCAACTCTCACAGCATCCTTCTAGGGGCCAGTCCAGCTCTCATGGAATCCGACCAGGGCTCGATCCAGCTCTGATAGAATTGCACTCGGTCTCGATCCAACTCTGACAGGATCCAACTAGGGCTGGTTCAAGCTAGAATTCAATCCCACATGGGGCTCGATACTTTCTCACAGCATCTTACTCAGGCTGTATCCAAGGTCCTCATCCTCATCCTCCTCCTCTTCTGCTCCGTCTCCCAAACATTGCATAAACTTACACTGTCGGAGGTCCGTTCGGATCTCCTGGGCCAGCGCTGGAAACCACTCCCTGGCGGAACCTCCGGTGCCGCCCCTGGCGTGCTCCGCGTGGCAGGGAGGTGGTTCCAGCGCCGATCCGAAATCCCCGCGGACCTCCTGTCGATGCAGCGCCTTGTTTCTCGATCCTCGCTCTCTTCGTCGAGCTCATCTGCTGCGTTTCCTGCCTCTGGGCTTCTTTCGTCTGCGCCCTCTCAGCCCGACCCTGTGCTGAGGTCGGGCCTGTCCCCCCACAGGGGGATCTTGGGCGACAAATTAAGAATACGCCACAAATACTTAACACATGTCCCCAAAATGCTCCAGAATAGTCAACAAATCTTCCCCAGACTGAGTTTTGACTATTTTGAAATATCCCTCCTGTAGAGGGACAGGCCAGACTGAACCCTGTGCCCTCCCGTCGAAGCGGGCGCCGCCATCTCAGATATGCGACCGACTGCCTCCAGACCGTGTCCAAAAGCTGCTGCGCCCCTGTCCCATGGAGAGCTGAGGCCCGAGGCCCACGTGGGCCTCCCAAGTCCCGCGTGGGTCATGATGGGTCTCCCCGTGGAGCCTCTCGACCTCCGTCTCCTCCTCCTCCTCCTCCTCCTCCTCCTCCTCCTCCTCCTCCCTCCTCCTCCTCCTCTCTCCTCCTCCTCCTCCTCCTCCTCCTCCTCCTCCTCCTCCTCTTCCCTCCTCCTCTTCTTCTTCCTCCTCCTCCTCCTCCTCCTCCTCCTCCTCCTCGTCCCTCCTCTCCTCCTCCTCCTCCTCCTCCTCCTCCCTCCTCCCTCCTCCTTCCCTCCTCCCTCCTCCCTCCTCCCTCCTCCTCCTCCTCTCCTTTTCCTCCTCCCCTCTCCTCCTCCTCCTTTTCCTTTTCCTCCTCCTCCTCCTCCTCCTCCTCCTCCTCCTCCTCCTCCTCTCCCCTCCTCCTCCTCCTCCTCCTCC